GTCTGCGGCATGGAAACCCGCCTGATTCTAGGACCCTCCACTTGGCTTCAGTCTATGTTGAAAGTGACATTGTCAACAAATGTGGAATTTTGAGAAGTAAAAACGTTGAGTTTTTATTTGGAGGAAAGATTATGAGAGATTGCTCACTGGGCAAAGCTTATGAATGGGATTGACAAAGTGTGTGACGAAAAGTAAAGAACCCTACTTATAAAAGTAGGATTTATGGGCAAAAGGCGTGATTTTCATTTATTTATGTTAAAGGCTTAATGAATACCCCTGCCCATCTTCTTTTGCGAGTGATTAAAATGAATGGCTTGTGTGTGACAAAAAATGACATGCGAGGTTGGGCTTAACGGGGCCCAACCCATGAGGTACATTTGTGGTCTGGGTGACAACGTCAATCAGGCGAACCATGTTGGTTGGCCTTAAGAATGAGATGTCGGATTTCCCCGCAATGGGGTGTTCTCTTGAGGAAGAGTTTAAAGAAAGGTGTGTAAATGAGTTGAGTATGAATGATCACCGTGTGAGTTTTCAGATCTTGAATTATAAACCCATCATATAGTTGGGTTTTGTTTTTTTCATAGGATGATTTGGGTGACCTGGCACAATAAAATATCGTTAAAAGGGATCGAGAATGGTGTAGTCTTCAGTGTGATTTTGGGTGACTTCCTGTCCTTGATTATAGCTGGTGGAAAGTGGCTTTATCCACTTTGTTGTATTAGAGGTTGAAGCGTGTCAGTGCTTAGCCGATTATTCGGCTATTGTAGATTCATATTTTGGTCAGGAATTAAATAATATTTTCAACTGCTGAGTCGTGCTGGTATTTGCCAAGTTATCCCGAGGAATTGAGGCTCGAAGTCGATATAACTGGATGACCATTTTTTGTCAAATCACTTATGTTTAGAAAGTTACTATATACGTTTCCTTGAGGCTATGCTTAAACGGTATTTGGTTTGGATACCCAAAGCGACGGGGACGTCGATTAATAGGGTCCGGGAGGACTGTCGTACCAAATATCCTTACAAGGGTATTTGGCGTGCTTTTTGTAAGTCACGTCAGTGCAGCCTCATCCGAAGTTGACAGCGCACTCGCGGGTGAAAGTTGAGTTCTTGTCCAGGTGAGCAACGAGCGTGAGGTATCAACGGCAAGGCGCAACCATGTGCGACTTGGGTGTGCGAGGCGTCACAGGCCAGCGGGATGCACGGCCCCTCGCCCCATTACCCTTTTTGTTTCCTCGCATTTGTTCTTATTTGTATTGATTTTATTATTGATTTTATTTATTTATTATTATTATTTTTTTTTTCCTACTTTTATTTTTACGGCTGTCTTTGACCCGGTAACCGGGTCCGAGACTGACGTCGGGCACCACGAGCCTGACTCGACCACTACCTTGCCGGACACGGGTGGCCGTTACGGCAGTCGAGGACCTTGATCACGCGACTCTTTCGACATGCCCGCTCGGGTTTCGGTGTGTTGTGGATGCTGGCGAAATTCTCTGTCCGCCTGTCTTGATACTCGGACCGGGAGATACGACGTGCATACGAGCCGGTGGGTAAATAGCCCACGAGGCGGAAAGAAGCCTGGGTGGCGGGGGTCATTGCGGTATACAGTTTGTCGCCCGCCGTCTGCTGCAAGAGGGTTGGGTGTGAGTAGGTCTGTGGGACCAGCACCCGAGGATCTAGCTCAGACTGGTACACCCACGGACTGTGTGAAATAGGCCTGTGGGACAGCACCTGCCGGCCTAATTCAGTTAGTGCACCCACGAACTGTAGAGGTACAGACCTGAGCTCGAACTCCACTGAAGGTGGGTGAGTGGGAGCTTGCGCCGCAAGCTGAAATACCACTACTTTTGTTTTTAGTTTTATTTTATTTTTTGTTTTTTCTAGGAAGATTCTCACGCTCGGCCGGTCCTGCCCAGCCGGGCACCCGGGCGTGACGCCTGGGGGGGTCTGACGCCCGGGGTACCCGAGCGTGCAAAAAAAAAATAAAAAATAAAAAATTAAAAAATTATGCGCTCTCCCAGAGGACTCCAAATCCGGGCTCATTTCGTTTTTTGCGAGTTGGCTGTCAAAGGGGGGGGAGGGGGGTATAAATTGGTTTTAAAGGGGATAAAGTGGTCTAAAGGGGGGTGCCCTTGTGTGTTTCTGTTATTTTCTTTCTTATCTCCGATTCTGTGAGGAATTATAACGTGACCCTCAACCAAAAGTGGCTTGCATTTCAATCCTACACAACATATGTTTTTTTCGAAATTTTTTGAGTTTTTTTTTTTTTTTTTTTTGGCGCTGGGTCTGCTCCGAACCCTAGTAGGTAAGTTCAATGCGATGTTCACGAAGTAAGCATGCAGCCAACACAGTGTTTACCGAGTAAGCACACAAGTGTTCACAAAGCAAGCATAATGCCTGTGCAATGATTTACTGAGTAAGCACGCAGTGAGGTTGTTCAGGATATGAACGTAGACAAAACCACAAACACGTCATCAAGACCATATGACGAAGCACTTAAAAAATGTTGAAAAAGATACAACATGAGCAAGTGCGACATTCCCAATGTGCTACCGTGACGACGCGCGCGAGAAGTGCGAAACGCCCTACACACGCTGCACGTACATCTAAGTCTCGACGCGAAAAGGTTTCATCCCTTAACTATCCTACTATTAATAGTCGCTACCAAACAGAATCAGAACTCTACCAAACAGAATCAGAACTAGCCTAATTCCCTTCACCAATCCCACATTCCTCCCCAAACTATCCAAAAGCAAACTTTCATAGTATGCACAAAGGATACAGGCGATGGGGGGACTGCTTGACTTCCCCATCGGTATTCCAACCTTCTGCCTGATCATCCTATCTGAAGCCCACAGAAATGTATTATTCAGATCGAATACAGCCATTTCCCTGATTGACTTAAAGTCAATTCTCACCCTACCTTCTTCGCTTCTTTTCCTCCCAAAGGTGGCTCCCTTCCCCCTTGACCTCACCATCACTGCCTTCTTTCCTTTGTTCTCGAATTCCGACAAAATCGACTCCACGGCTAACATCACGGAATCATCGGGGAGCTTGCTGAACATTTCTTTAATGTCGTAAGCAGCCCCCACCAATTCCCCGTTGCTCTTCTTTTTGGCCCACTTGTTGACCCCTTCCAGCCTTGACTTCAACAAACTTGTGGATTTCATGTTAAAGTGACGATGCTTTGGTAAAGAGAAGAGTAGGAAGTTCAGAGCCTTCGCTACTCTCTGATTTGCAACTCTCGCTGGTTCAGAGAACGATGGAGAAATCGGACGAAACTTCGTCGAATCTTTGTGTTTTGGGAGAACATACACCTTCCCCCAAGATCCATTGTTATCCCAAGCACCAATCCTCCTCAGACCTTTCTCTTCATACTCGCTTCTTGCTCTAGCCAGAACCTCCTCCTCACTTCTCCAAACAACATCAAATGCGGGATTGTCCCAGAACGCCGTGCGCATACCTTCCTCATATAGGACAAGACACATCACCAGAGTTTCGGCGGGATTTTTGTCCAGTGGACAGAACACCAACCCTGCCCACCTCCTTTTTAACTTCTCAATCTCGTCGATCACCCCATCACCTTTTACTCTCTTTTTTCGAATACAGCACCTTGCTTGGGGCAACGTCCATGTTGGCTCAAGTCCCGCTTTCAACATTTCTTCATTAAGCTCTTTCCAAAGCCTAACGTCATCTTCTTCACTGTCGATTCCTTGAATCACATTCTTTGCGTTCCGGATTCTGTCGTCAATGCCATCCCTGCCATTCAAACGAAAGGCCACGTGTTCTCCCTTCCTTGGGAGGTCAAAGTCTGCACAACAACATACTGTAGCCATTAGGCGGCTAAAGCGCCTATGGTTATGTAGAAGTCCTCCGACCGTCTGGTTTCTCTTCCATACCAGCCGGAGCTTCTGACATCGTAGCCTTGCTTCCGCAGCGGATTGACATTGTGATCCGATTTTCTCTACCATTTGCTTCCTAACCACCACTCGCGATATCTGTTCGTCATACTTGACCCCAATCACTACCCTCCTTCTCAAGCTAACACCAAATCTTCTCTTAACCACACTATCCACTATCCCTTTCAAAGACTTCCTCGAACTCTTCCTTGAGAAGCTTTGGATCTCTCGGTATAGATCGATAAACTCTTCTCGTTGCAATGTCTCAAGCTTTTTTCTCGACCATGGGCATTTAAGCAATTGAAGTAGTTGCTTTTTAAGCTTTGGGTTCCCCGGGAGCTTCTCCTTAATTCTTACGAATCGCACCTCCCCTCCTTCCTCGAAGAAGCACTTTGCGTTCCTAAGCTTACTCTTCTTGCCTTTGTACGAAACTTCCGACTCCCCAAATATCCTTCTCGTCACCCCCCAGTCTTCCATCCAGATTTTTACCCCGCTCGACACCACCCTCCTTTCATTCTTACCCTTGCAGTCTTTGATCACCTTACTTAGCTTACCAGTAGTGCCTGAACCCGAACCATAAAAGCGTATCACCCTCTCATCGTCAAAGAACACTTTTCTCTCCTTCTTCCTCTCCCTCCTTCCCCTTCTCTTCTTCTTTTTCCTGTTCCTTCCGTCTTTCCAGCCGTTCACGTTCAATAGAGGGCACCATCGTCGAATCAGCCTCTGTTCCAATTTTTCCAGCTCAGATTTCTCCGCTATCGCCACTGGGATTGCAACATACGACTCCCACCCCCACTTCCTTAACCAGAGGTACAACTTATTCTTACGGTTGTCACTATTCGACTACGCCCTACCTACATGCTCAGACCATCTTTCACTTAACTTCCTCTCAGTCTTCCCCAAGTAGGTTAGCTTACACCATGGATCAATAGAAGGTAAACACAGGAGTCTGGATCGTCCCACTTATCTCGTTCTCTCTCAAAAATCTCCGAGATACATTCAATGTATTTCCGTCCCCAACTAATCTCATTATCCAGGATTAGTAACAACACCGAATTTCTCAATATCTTCTCTACCAGAGGACGCAAACACTTACCCTTTTGGTTCAGCTTACACCACTTACGTACTTCCAAAAATCTTAGCAGAAAGTCCCATCCGTTGGAGTTACTCGTCGACGTCCTCCCCTTGAGGTTCTTGGACTTCTCCCCTTATCTGGTCTTCTTCGCCCGGCTTGCTGGAGGTTGAGCTAGAGGGTTTCTTCCCTCTGTAGCAGTACGCAACTCGCAGCTTAGACAGAGTGTCGACCGCATCGTTGACGTCGTAGAAAGGCAGACCTGCTCCTTTGCACATCGCCTGCAGAGTTTCTGGGTAAAACGATGATATGGTCTTTCTCACCGCCTTCCTATACGCCGCCTCAATCGCGTATTTTTCACCCATCAGCACACCTTCCCAAGGATCTTCTCCCTTAGCTACGTGTGCTGCCTGAGATTCCGCTTTAGTTGGTCGTCCTCTTGTCTTTCGCTTTTGGCTTGCTGGTGTCTCCTCCCTTTCCTTCTTCCCCTGCTTCTTTGGCGTTTCCACGGGAGGGCTGTTTTCGACAGCCCCGGTGGAGTCTCGTCTCTTCCTCTCGTCTTTAAGCGGCGTAGCTTCCTCCTCCTCCTCTTCATCAACATCACCTTCTTCCGACCCCCCCGACGGGGTTGCACTCGCCTTCCCCTTCTTTTTTGCTCCGATCGTCAAACCTTTTAACTTCCGATTAATCCCTATGATCTTCTCCAACTTCATCTCGAATTCCTCGGCTTGTTCTGCCAGTAGCTTCTTAGTCTCCCACCTTCGTCTCTTTTCTTTCGCTTCCTTCGCCAGCTTCTTATCCATAGCGAGTTTTGTTGCCTCTTCCTTCGCGGCTTTTTCTTCTTCATCCTTCTTCATCTTCAACTCGGCCTCACGTTTGGCCTCTTCGGCTTCCTTCTGCTGTTCAAGAAGCTGCCTCGCCATTCTCCCCACCGCGCTTAGGGAGTCTTCAAGGTCCCTGCTAAGTGACACTATACCGCCGCCTCCTCCGTACTTACCCTGCAACTTTGGACATTGGCTTTTATAATGGCCAAATTCCCCACATTCGTATCATTTAACTTGTCCCGGCGCATCACTCCTTCTTCCCTAATTATCGGCTGAGTAGCCTCGTCTATCGTCCCGTCTTCTTTCGTGCCCTCGTCCACTGTCCCTTCGATCATCTCCACTGTCCCATCCTCCACTCTCGTATCCCCTAAACCTCTCGTTTCTTCCGCACGAACCACTTCTCCTACTATCCATCTCCAAGTCTTGGCCTGCAGGGAGTATTTCAGCCCACCACGATCTGTCGTCAACTCGTTTGCCTCGGCTACTAACGCGCCAACTGGTTGTCTCCGTACTGCACCTTCACCGTAAGGCCGCTTCGCCGTGAGATGTAATCAGCTCCTCACTACCACCAAGTTTCGAGTGACTTCCCTCGGCAGGTTGTAGCGCTCGCTCACAGGTGGGTAAGTTCAATGCGATGTTCACGAAGTAAGCATGCAGACAGGCTGAGCCAGCACAGTGTTTACCGAGTAAGCACACAAGTGTTCACAAAGCAAGCATAGTGTCTGTGTAATGATTTACTGAGAAAGCACGCAGTGAGGTTGTTCAGGATATGAACGTAGACAAAACCACAAACACGTCATCAAGACCATATGACGAAGCACTTAAAAAATGCCGAAAAAGATACAACATGAGCAAGCACGACATTCCCAATGTGGTACCGTGACGACGCGCGCGAGAAGCGGGGAACACCCTACACACGCTGCACGTACGTCTAAGTCTCGACGCGAAAAGGTTTCATCCCTTAACTATCCTACTATTAATAGTCGCTACCAAACAGAATCAGAACTCTACCTCCTGGATGTCTGACAAACCCGACAAGGTACTAGAACCATCCTTGTACTACCAGATAGCTGGCTCAAGAAGCCACTAATCCCTGGATCGAACCTCCACCGGTCGTGGATCTTATTATTTCCCAAACCACACCCTGGATCGGACCCTCCACTAAACAGTGGTCTTAGTTCCCAAATCTGACCCTACCTCCTCCAAAAGCATACTTACCAAACTCAACACGAAAGGACAACCCTAGACAAAAAAGCACACCAACAGGGCCCTGAAACTTCTGCACCGGACCCTATCCCCCGTTGACCCTGATTTCCATAGTTACCCGTTTGGCAACGTGAACCCACTCAGGGGCTTTCCTTCGAACGAAGCCCCAAAGCGTGCGATCGAAGAAGTCGGCTGGAAAACTCTGCTTTCTCAATTCGCGATTCGGAACCCTGCCCGGGGGTATGCCCGGCCGGGCACCCGGGCGTGTACCCGGGCAGAAGTTGGGTGCCCGGGAAAACAGCCTAGTGTTTTTTATTTGTTATTTTACCTATTTTCATGAGGTGGAACCGGGACTTTGCCTCTGCCCCTCGATCCAAGATGCAGGCCCTTGCGGCCTGTCCGATCCAAGCGAAGACATTGTCTGGCGGGGAGTTTGACGTGCATGCGAGTCGGGGGAAGTCGGGCCCACGAGGAGGAAGAAACTAGGATGGCGGGGCTCGCTGTGGTCGCACAGTCCGCCACCCACCATCTGCTGTGAGAGGTTCGAGTGTGAGCATGCCCGCCGGGGCCCGAAGATGGTGAACTGTGCCTGAACTGGCGGGGCTAGCGGGCATCGGTGGGAGGCCGCCGCAGTTTTGACTGTGTGGCAGGCTGGCGCAGCGGMAGGATCAGGTAGAACCCGCCTCCACTCRGGGCCCAAAAAGTTCTCCGTTGAATATTTGCTACTTTCACCACGATCTGYTGTAGGAGGGTGAGTGTGAGCACGCCCGGTCCCCCTGGCTGTTGGCGGCGAGTTGCAGGACGCCATTGGGACCAGGAAAGTGGATCAGGGGAAAGCCACACTGTGGCCCGGTTCATATGCGGGAATACTTGTTACCGCCACCAAGATCTGCAGCGGGGCCCGTCTCACCAGCCACGCTGCAGGGCCTGCCGCATGCCCTGCACCCTTCCACTCGGTWCGATGTCGGGACCACTACAGCAGCCAAGTGTAGGTTGCGTMCTGTCGGGCRGACCCGCTYGGCAGGTAAGTGGTAACACAATGTTCAGCGGACTCTTGCTTCAATAGCAACTKTCCTACTCCTTGTATCGGCCKGTCCCTCTTGTGATGTCTGATTTTAGCGCAGTGGTTTGGCGCAGGCGGGAATGCAGGCGGAGAGACAACGAATTGAGGCAACAGAGAAGGCGAATGGACCTGGACAGACTTCTGTGCCGGGTGCGTGCGCAGAACGGAAGAGCACATCAGCGAGAGATGAGCTATGGCCGAGGTAAAAGAAGCATATCCCACTCGTTTCTTGATGAAAACGAGTGGGGGAAGATAGTAGACTAAGGTTTTGGGATAGGGCGACCTCAAATCAGACATTAGTTTTAGTGGAGAGTTAGTAGAATAAGAGGTTAGTGAGAAAAGGGGTGCGCCGGGACATGGCAGAAACGAGGGAGAAGAAGTGAGGAAAGAAAATGTAGACCTCACCCATTTCTTGATGAAAACGGGCGAGGGAAGATTCGTTTATGGGGTTTTCAGGGCCTGCGAATCGATTGGTGGAGTCAGATTGGTAGTAGGAGTGTAGAATGAAGGAGGGGAGAAAGGTGTTCTGCGGAGCTATGGCGAAGAGGGAAGAAGGTGGGGAGCAAATTTGTGATAACTCGGTCGTTCCTTGCCCATTTTTTGCAATCTAAGATTCGAATCCGGGGTTTTGGGCCATTGTGAATCCGATGGCAGTGTTGGATTTCGCGATGGAGTAACGGTTTTGACAGGGTAAGGTGCGGAAAGTGCGGGACTGCTACGGGGATTCTAACGGGAGTGTCATTCTCACTTTCTATTTTATTTTTATTTTTCTTTTGTATTTATTATATGGCACATCTGAAGGGTACTAGGATGGCGCGACGCCGCTAGCACATATTAGCGATCGGGCGCTGCTTGTGCCGTCGGCCCGAAGATGCTGTTTTTCTCTTCTGGGACCGTCTTCACGATAGAGCTCTCCATCACTTTGATTGGGCCTCCGACTCGGCCAAGGTGTTTCTGATCTCGTGGTGAAGTTAGTAGGTGAGAGCAGTAACAGGACAAAGAGGACTTACCTGTCTGTCGAGAGTTGTGGGATGTGCCAACGAAGGTGAGCAGAGGACCGGCGGGTTGAAGTGGCCGTCGTCAGTATCGCGGCTCGTCGTGATTCGAGCTTTCCCTTGATCTAGCTCCCCTCACCTTGAATGAACCTGGCCGAGCAGACGACCAGGTACATTCATATACAGGGCGTTGTGGTAGAGAGGAGAGATAGCAGGTGCCAGCGACAGGAAGGAAAAAGGAGGAGAGAGGATGACTGACGGAAATTGGGGAGGCTTACCTGTTGGCGGATAAGTGTCCATCAAGCAGCAGGGGTGCAAGGGAGGTGTGAGAAGGCAAACAAAAGCAAAGAGAGAAGGGATCTGCCCGTTTGTGGTGGAAGATTCACTTCAATTATGCTTGTCCTATGAGAGAGAGAGAGAGAGAGAGAGAGAGAGAGAGAGAGAGAGAGAGAGAGAGAGAGAGAGAGTATTGAGCGCTTACCTGGTAGAGCAGACGATGCGGATGAACCAAAAGTTGAGCTGCGGGCAAACTGCGCTCCTATCCACCAAGAGCCCGACCGTCGGGTTTGACGAGCCTATGCCCACTGTGTCGTCGGTCATGCTGTAGGAACGAATCCGGTTGAAATATCGGCCAGGTGCATTCGAAAACTATGGGCTGCAACGAGAGAAGGTGAGAGAACTCACCTCGGAGTATTGGTCATGCGAGACGAACCGAAAATAGAACTGTTGAACTGCAGACGGGAGTTCAAATCCAGCGACGACCAGGCTACGTGAATGATAACAGACCGAGAGAGAAGGATGAGGATGATGGGGTGAGTGCACGTACCTGGTCTTGGTGATGGTCTACAAGGTCGGCATCTCCATTCACTGCGGTTGCTGCTGCAGATGTCAGCAGGACGCGTTGTCGACCTACAAGCTGCCAACAGCTGTGTAAAGGTAGCCTGTGTGCTGGGTGTCGAGGAGAAGGGGAGTTTATTGCATTAGCGGGCGCAGGAACTGTTGTCATATGGGCGAAGTGCTGCTGAATCTGATTCTCAACAGCGGCGGTCTCGCACTTTGAAATGCTGGTGACCTGCTTCATCACAGTATGGCTGTCTCTGCAGCATAGCTTCACCGATCTCTGCAGCCCAAATTGCTTGTTCTGCTAACACAATACGGTTGTGTTCTGCAGCATGATGTCGTGGACTTCAGAATCCTGAACCGTGTTATATTGTTGTTGTTGAGCCAGGAATCTGCTGATTGTTGAGCCGCTGCCCAGGTTGTCGTGACCCTTGTGCTCACATTCTTCGTAATGATCGCACTGTACACCTTTGAGTACAGCGTTGTGACAGTTGGGTTGAGTGTCGGCACTGCCGCAAGCACACTGGTGTTGGTCGCAGCAAATCGAGAGAGTGGAAGGCGGCAGGCTATGAGGCATTGTGTCGTTGGCTCGCACCTTGCTGCTAGAACTGGCTTGTAGAGAGGGAACTTACCTGGCAGCTGGCCGTGCAGGATGAATTGAAACTCTGCCGAACTGCAGAGCTGCCAGCAGTGGTCTTCCTCGAGAGACATAGTTGTTGATGTTGTTTTCAGTCCGTTAGCCTGACGGAATGTTGTTGTTAGGCGTTTGAGTGGCGTTGGGCTGCCCAACGCGCTGCTGCTGCGATGAAGAGAATCGAAGGTGCTGATTGGGTATGAGTGTTGCTGATCGGAGGAAGAATGGTTGTAATGTTTTATTGAGTCTAGTGATGGTTGTTGCTGACGTGGCGGTGTATTCTACTCGAACGCAACCATGACCATAGGCTGCATAGCAGCAATTTGACCAGAAGTGACGGCGTTGCAGCTTTGGGGAGTGATCTGGCTGCACATAAGGGGGATGCTGTTGCAACTTGAAGGGCTGTCAGGGTGCGACTGCTGTACATTTTCACTTCGAATTCGA